GGCCGCGGTCGGAACCCTGCCTGCCCGCTTGCGGAGCGGACGTGCCCACACCACGGCCATTCATCGGGAGCGGCCAAGGGGGGGATGTCCAAGAAGGGGAGGTGCAACTCATGACCGGCGGCATGTGCGCGGCCCAGGGGGGGGGCCAGGGACGTAATGAACTAAGAAGACGCGCCATGAAATCAGGGGAAATATCATGACACCCGCCATGATATCCACCCCCCCTAGTCATCACCCCCCTCTTTTCCGCCCCCGAATTCAGGTACGCTGCAGAGACTCAAACTTGAAGCCTCGGGCCATGCAGACACTCTGCACGCGCAGTTCTGAGTCGCGGGCGTCTTCGACGACTTCGTCTTTCACGTTCTTCTGCCGATGCTTCTCTACGTCTTCCAAGTGCCTGAGGTAGGCTTTGCCGAAGGCCTTGTGCACGTCGCCTGCGGGAGTTCGCTGGGCCGGGCATTGGAGGCTGAACAACCCTACTGCGGTGCAGATCGTCCGCGAAAGACGTGTCAGACCTACAACTGTACAACAAGCAATGGGCGCGACCGGCATGATACAGACATGTGGGTGTTGATGGAGCTGGGAAAGGCAACGCAACTCAGACATGATGGAGAACGACGGGCATCGAGCGCAACGCTGACCTATAGACGAGCATCCATGGATCTCGCGCCATGGCAAAGCAGAAAGAGAGAGAGAGAGGGATAATGAGAGAGAGAGAGAGAGCACACAAAAAACAAAGAAGACACACACCACGAGGGAATCCATATATACATACATATATCCTGAGAGAAAGAGAGAGAGAGAGAGAGAGAGAGAGACATAGAAAGAGAGAGAGAGAGGGAGCTCGGTGCTCGACGATATTCGCAGACCCATGGGGTCAGTCGCAGATGCACAAGACGTCCCCCCCTCTTTGACAGACCCCTCATCCTGGGCCTCATGCTTTTCGACTTGACGGTCTGGGCACGGTGCACAAACGCCAGTCGGGCATAGAATCCCTCCCCTGCCTAGCCTTCTCGGTGGCGTTGGCCTTCCTGCCGCGGCTTGGGCCCGGGTGGTCAGCCAAGGGAGCTCGAGCCCGTCCGAGCCGAGATGCGGTTCCTTCCTTTGCTTCTCCCCCTCCATTCTTCTCATCATCATCTTGGGCAGGAAGTGGAGGGGCACGGCAGGACAAGACCAGGGCAGCGGCTGTCTCCTGCTAGGTCGGCTCACCGCTGCTGGGTAAGAGCTGTGGCCTTGACACTGTGCTGCTCGTAACCTCCACCTGCAACTCGGGCAAGCCTGCAGGACCAAATGGCCCAAGGAGGGACCTTCACAAGGCCCGCGCCAGCACGAAGGCGCACCGATCCATGAGAAAGCTCACGCGAGGCGCAGAGCACCTGAGCCCTCCCCCTCTTTCGACCCCCGCCGCCCGCCTGCCCCCCCGAAGGTGGCCGGCTGGGGTCGCGGTGTTACTCCACGCCGCCGTGCAGAACGGCATCGACACACTGCCAAGACCGTGGTCTGAGCTTTCCGCTCCGCACTCGCGACCCATCGGGCTCCAGACGGCGCTCTTGATGGAGGCCTCCTGGATGGGGTCAGAACAGATGGGGTCGAAAGATCGCGCCGCATCGCCGATGCATCGGCGATGCACCGCCGATGCATCGGCGACCGCGGCGGTGCATCGGCGACGCCAGCGTGGAGAAACTCGGGCCCTGCATCGAGCCGCATCGCCGATGCATCGTCGATGCGGCGCGATCCTCCGACCCCGTCTAGGAGGCCTAGAGCTGAGCATGAGGCTCCCTTCCGCCGAGTCGATCCGATCCTGCCCTCGCCCCGCTCCCGGGCGCGACGGGCCACGGTTGGGTCGGGCATGTCCTCCTACAAGCGGACTTTGGACGAAGAATGAAACATACCCCAAAAAGATCCTCAGAAACAGTCAAAGATGGTGACACATCGTCCCCAGCCTACTTTTTTTTGGACTCCTCTGGGGTCTTCTTCCTGCAGAGCGACACGCCCAACCCAAGCCTAGAGTTGAGCATGAGGCTCCCTCCCGCCGCATCGATTCGATCCTGCCCTCGCCCCCCTCCCTCGGGCCGGGCGAAAGGGGGGGATAGCATATATTGGGGGGGTTGAGAACCAGCTCGCGCAGCTGACTTTCCCGGCGCCTCCCGGCGCCGGAGGCGGCCACGCATCGAGGAACGCGGGCCCCTGGGTGGGGCCGAGACCAGCCGCACGCAGCAGATTTCGTCCCCCCCCTCCCCCGATCCCCCCCCCTCGTCCGGCCCGACTCCTCCCTCTCCCGATCTCCCGGTCCCCCCCCCCCTCCTCCCCCCCCCCCATCCCCCCCCCCCACGCTCCCGATCTCCCCCCCTCTCCCCATCCCCCCCCCCCTCGTTCGGCCCGACTCCCGCGCGCGGGCCGAGCCCACGGGCAGGAGGCGGGCGCCGGGCGCGCGCAGAGGGGGGCCTATGACCCGCGGGTCGCGCGTGCCCTTGCCCGCCCTGCCCAGCGTGCGCATGGCCTGCGGGGGCGAGGCGCGGCTCGGTGGGGCATGCCCTCCTGCAGGCGGGGCCCGTGGGCGGAAAAGGAAAAAACGGTCAGAAGCAGTCCAAACAGTTTCACACAGCAACGGTGAAGCCGTCCACAGAAGTACTCACAAGTATTCAAGTACATAGAACAAGAGGCAAGACGACTCAAAAAACAACTCCAAGCATTACTCAATGATGATGCTAAACGAAACCTCCAGATGGTAAGTACATGTTCAAGCACAAACTCAACGGTAATAAAAAACATCGTCCTCACACTATCTTGTTTCCTATTTTTGGGAACAAATCCTCCTGTAGAGGGACAGGCCCGACTGAAAGGAACGGGGAGCCGACAGGGCGGTGGGGGCTGGTTTTGGACACCGGCCGCTCTGATCGGCTCCCTGCGCGGCCCCGCAACTCCCGCACCGCGCCCCGGAGCCAACTTGTCGACCCGGGTCCGCTTGTGATGCTCGGAGGCAGCTCTTTGAAGGGGCCCTGGGACACGCAAATAAATACACACAAATAACAGGATTCCCCTTATATTCCCATATGTTCATTGTTTTTGTCTTCCCCCCCACCCCTCATGTTTTCCCAAATTTTCTGGGGAATCGACGATTGATTGTGTCTGTGTGCTTTTTCCCCTCCTGACTCTTGGGAGCCTCCCACACCCTCTTGTCGGCTCGTGCGACTCGACGCTCGTCGACGCTAAAGCGACGCTCATCGACGCTAAATCGACGCTGAATCGTCGCTGAATCGGCGCTATATCTCATCGACTCGCAGACGCTGATCGACGCGAACCGATGCTAAAGACGGCATTCAAAAGGTATACCAGGCGCACATGATTTGCTGCCGAATTTGGTTGCCCCCCGGGGCCCGACACAACTTGAGTAGGGACCGACCGTCCCAGCGTTCCTATAGGCCTACCACGCAATTTTCGTAGAACCCAGAAGTGTTCTAATAACAAAGACGATGTTCTTAGAACGTGAGCCCGATGCCTTAAAAACAAGACCGCCCCAGCCAGAAGTGATCTCTAACAACACGTCGTGCAGACCACAGACGGCTCTCAGGACCTCGCTTGGCGGGCCTTCGGAGGCGAGCCAGGACGCTCCGCCGCTGCCTGCACGACGCGCCCCGCGCCGCAGCAAGCCGGAGGAGGAGGAGGAGGAGGAGGAGGAGGAGGAGGAGGAGAAGGAGGAGGAGGAGGAGGGGGAGGGGGAGGGGGAGGGGGAGGGGGAGGGGGAGGAAACGTGCCGCGACGGAGCAGAGGCCGGCGCACACGAGCCGGCGCGGCGCACACAGGGCCGGCGCCGGAGGCTGCTCGGTGCGGCGCGGAGGGGGCGCCGCCGCGGGAGGCGTGGGCGCGCGCGAGAGGCGGGAGCGGGCGGCCCCTGACAGCCTCGCGTCGTGAAGCAGAAACCGCACGGCGGCGACGGCGACGGCGACGACGGCGACGACGGGAAGCTTCTGGCCGTTTTCAGCCTCTATGGGCCCTCCGAGGGCCCCCGGGCCGACAGGAAACGACGCGGGGCGCAAATGCGGCCTCGGAGAAGCGGTCTAGACCTCTGGGGAGCCACGTTGAGCAAATCACCACGTCGGATGTCTGCGGAATGGGACGCGGAAGAGCGGATTTCTGTTTCACCGGGTGAGATAGCCGGGCAATTCAGATCGAGGCCGGTTTAGCGCAAGGCTGCCGTGGCCTTCCGCAAGGAAGGGCATCAGGACGCGAACCACGGTCCAAGGCACTGGCGGGTGGTGACCCGAGTACTGCATTGCCGCGTGCTCCTGGAACGAAGAGGAGAGGAGGACGCAAGGACATTAGTCCGAGCGGCAGCGTCTCGAAGTGAAAAACTGCGCGGGAGGGACAAATGGCACAGTCGGATGACAACAGAGAACCGCCTCGCCCTCAGATGATGGTTTTGTGAGTCCCAAGGCGAACTCAGGCAGCCTCTGGTCTGGGACTGGTGGGAAAAATTGAGATGCATTGGCGCTCCTCGCCATGCACCTTGAATGGTCCTTGACGTTTTGCGATGATGCCTTGTTGCCTTTTCCGGCATCGCAATTTTTTGATAATGGGAATCACGATCTTTCCCTGATGCTTTCTTTTCCTCTTCCCCCTTCTCGCCTTAGTCTGTAAATTCTTCCCGTTCTCTTCAGCTCTTTTTGCGGAGGCTCCGCCTCGAAGCGCCTTTGGGGGGCCCCTCGAAAATTTTCAAAGGCCTCTTGAGGCCTTCTGGAGGGTTCCTGGGCGCCATCTGGGGGCTTCCTCAAGCCATCCTGCTTCCAACCGCGGTCTCCCTGAGCGACCGGGTCACGATCTGGAGTGCTTCGGGGGGGTCTAGGGGCCATATTCGGCCGTCATGGGGATCTCTGAGAACCCTGTTGTGCCGTCCTGGAGCTCTCCTGGACTGCCTGGAAGCTATTTTAATTCTGAAGCGATTTTCGGGCCTCCTGGGCGGTCTCGGACGCCTGGAAGCTCACAAAAAACAATTGAATACGTAGCACCTCGCAGTTGCGGATAAGAGTTAGGGGGCGGCGAGGACGTCGTCAGTCTGCGAGGCTCTGAAGAAGCCCGCCGCAGGCGCCTAGCTTTTATAATTTATGCAGTGAGCCCGCCGCAGGCGCCTAGCTTTTACAATTTATGCAATGTGAAAGGATCGCGGGTTGGGTCGCGGGTGGGTCGCGGGCCGGGTCGCGGATGGGTCGCGGGTGGGTCGCGGATGGATCGCATGTGGGTCGCGGGTGGGTCGCGGGGTGGGTCGCGGGGTGGGTCGCGGGTGGGTCGCGGGGGGGTCGCGGGGTGGGTCGCGGGGTGGGTCGCGGGGTGGGTCGCGGGGGTGGGTGGGTCACGGGTGGGTTGCGGGTGGGTCGGGTCGCGGGGTGGGTCGTGGGTGGGTCGCGGGGTGGGTCGCGGGGTGGGTCGCGGGTGGGTGACGGGTGGGTTGCGGGGTGGGTCGCGGGTGGGTCGCGGGTGGGTCGCGGGCGGGTCACGGGGTGGGTCGTGGGGTGGGTCGCGGGTGGGTCGCGGGGTGGGTCGCGGGGTGGGTCGCGGGGTGGGTCGCGGGGTGGGTCGCGGTGTGAGTCGCCGTTGGGTCGCGGGGGGGACGACGACAACAACAACACTAACAACAAGCAGAATCCCCACCACGGATCCCCACTTCAGCCACGCACCCAGGGACAATGAATGAATGACCGCTCGGCCCCCTCAACCCCCTCGAAAGGCCATTGCCTAGGCCCGACAAGGGCTTCCTGGAGCTCCCAGGAGCTTGGAGGGCCTCCTGCAGGGGCGCCCAAGGGGGCCCTCGGCGGCGGTGATCTGGGGGTCTGGTTTTGAAGGGGTTGGGGATCTACTGATCCAGGTCAATCCAAATCTGGGCCAATCAGGCCTTGCAAGATCCTGCAAGGTCCTGCAAAATCCTGCAGGATCCTGCGCCCTAGCCCGGGTCACAACGCCCCGAGCTCTTCAGGATCCTGCAATATCTGGCGCTCTGGGTGACCACCGTTTTTGCACGGACCCCCGTCCCAAAGCTCCCTTTGGGGGGTCCCCCTCTGATGAACCATAACAAATAAGACTCGGTGGATGTAGGCGAGGGCAACAGTTCTCGACGTCGGTGCTGCTCGCATTGGTGGAGGTGGGGAACGCGAAGGTCTGGGGCCCCTTTTGGGGCCCCACATCAAGCCGAAATTGGCGCGCTCCCCTTGGAACGCCGACCGCATCATCTCCGACGTCCCCAGCATCGGCAAAATTTGCGGCCGCGTGTATGTAGAATATGTATATATATATATATATATATATATATATATATATATATATATGCACACACACACACATACTAGAAGCACGCGTGCGCTTCGCGCGCGCTTAGGTTCTAGGTGTCACAAACACAGGAATCGCTGTGCGAAAAAATATTTGGAGTTTGTCTCAGGCAATTGAAAACGCCAGTGGCAACACCTGCTTGAGGCACCAGGCACCGCCAGGGACGGACCCTGTGTAGAGTGTGGAGAATCGGACCAGCTCTCTGGTCGACCCTCTTGGGCGCGCCCTGGGTCTCTCTTGGGCCGTTTTTGGGGGCCCATTGGGGGGCTGCTTCGGGGCCTTTTGTTGTATTTTTTCGGGTCTCTTGGGGGCCTCTTGGGGCTTCTTGGGCGCTTCTTGGAGCCTCTTGGGGTTTCCTGGGGGCCTCTTGGGCCAAATGGCTCGCATTTTCAGTTCCTCGTCCCCGTCTTGGGCGCCGACTTGGGGCGTTCTTGATCGGTTTCGGCGCCTCGGGGGCCGTCTTGGCCCCCTCGTGGGCTGTCTTGGGGCCCTCTTGGGGGCATCCTCGGCCGGCTTGGGTGCCCCTGGGGCCGTCTCGGACGCAGTGGAAACCCAAAAGGCGAACACGCCAAAAATATCAGTTACCCGAAAGGAAATCAACGATTTTTACTTTTTGGGGCCCTATTGGGGTGTCCCTTGGGGCGTGTTCGGGGCCTCTTTGCGTGTTTTTGCGGGTCTCTGTGGTGCCTCTTGGGGCTTCTTGGGCGCTTCTTGGAGCCTCTTGGGGTCTCCTGGGGGCCCCTTGGACCAAATGGCTCGCATTTTCGGTTCCTCGTCCCCGTCTTGGACGCCGACTTGGGGCTTTCTTAAGCGGTTTAGGCGTCTCGTGGGCCGTCTTGTGGCCCTCTTGGGGGCATCCTCGACCGTCTTGGGTGCCTCTTGGGCCGTCTTGGACGCAGTGGAAATCCAAAAGGCGAACACGCCCAAAATATCAGTTTCCCGATTGGAAATCGACAATTTTTGCGTATTGAGGCTCTGTTGGGGTGCCTCTTGTGGCGTCTTCGGGGCCTCTTTTGGTGTTTTTGTCCGGTCTCATGGGGGCCTCATGGGGTTTCTTGGGCGCTTCTTGGAGCCTCTTGGGGTTTCCTGGGGGTATCTTAGGTGCGAATTTCCGGTTCCTCGTCCCCGTCTTGGGCGCCGCCTTGGGGCGTTCTTGGGCGGTTTGGGCGTCTCGTGGGCCGT